ACTTACTGTAAGGGATGTGAGATGTGGAAAAAAAAAGTGAAGGAAATAAACTATCTTGCCTGGTACGAACAGCATAAAACGCATTGTACGATAAACCATGAAGGACCAATGATCTTTACATTTTTTTTTATCATGACATCAATTTAAGAAGATCGTAAGAAGTTTTTTTTGTTTTCTTTTTTTTTTTTGTTTATTAAGGTGTCATTGTAATAAAGCGACACATTCAATAAAAGTATTTTTGTAAATTTATATTGTTCAATATAAACGTGATATTGAGATTTTATTACGCCTTATTATTATTATATATTTTTAACTTATAAAAAATAATTTTATAAAAAGAAAAACACGATTTTATCGAACAAAAGTAGCTGCTTCCAATAGGACGCCTTTGGAAAACTCCCAGTAATTTGAATAGATGATTTCTTGTATATTTTTATCGATTTGAGAAAAATTTGAGAAAATTCATGCTCTATATGATTGTCATTATTGCATAAAAAAATAATGGTAAAAATTGACAAAATTGAGATAAGAAATGTACTACTTTTTTTTTTATAATTGATAATTAATTAGGTAGTTATAATATTTCTATAAGTTTAATTTATTTATGAGCTAATAGTGTACATAAAAACGCTTAGAAATTTTAGCGCAATCGTTTTTGTAGTTTTATTTTTAACTTTTTAATCTTGACAAATTTATGTTTCGAAAGAAACGCATTTGAAATTTATGGTAGCGTTTTCAGATATGGCTCCATTCCAACTTGAAAATAACGAAAATTTCTTATTAGGACTTTTGTATTATATTCTAAAAAGTATTTATTATACATATAATTGATATATGTATAAACAAAAATAATTGGCTTGTTCAAAATTTATGACTAGAAGGACTCCTTAATATTATTTACGAAGGAACTGGAGTAACCTTCGTAATAAGGCTTAAAATTGCATGGCTTATTTAATCTTGAGCGTTATACTTGCTTTCGTGAAATTACATTTAGCTCATGCTATCGCGTTAATGTGATTTAATTATAATCACCGTAACGCCGTGTCGTCCTGGTAATTATATTAAAATAACTGTTTTGTTCCATGACATTGACGATTAACAGATAAAGGAAGTATCAGATATATCGCTACGTAGATTTCTTCTATTAATTCTCGTTTTATATGGCGATCGGTGACAACATCAAAAAATCTTGTTTAATGATTTTATCCGTTAAACTATATTGAAATAACACGAAGTTCCTCGTTATTAACCTACATTGAGAAGCACTGTAAATCAATAAAAATCGATTTAAGGAATGATAGCGTTAAGTGTAACAGTAATTTAAATGTATGTATAGTATGTGATAAGAAGTGTATATTATCTTTATTAGATAACAGTGGATTTTTAGCGCCTCAGAAAATCTTATCTCATTTTAGACGAAAAGAAAAAGAAAAGACAATAAATCGATAATAATTTAAACAATATATACCTCGGGTGTTATTATCAAGTATTTCTCAAACAAAACAATTCTTCCAAAAATTTGAAGTGTATATTATGAGAAAAATAAAACAAGCAACACACAGGCCCCCAAAATTTACAAATAAGGTCAAAATTGAGTGTAGAGAATGCAACATGATTGCATATTGTTAAAAAATTCATACGTTTTGTAATTTTTTTCAAATTGCATGCATTTAAAACATGTCTATTTAAGCTATGTCATATAGCTATCTATTTAAATTTAGGTTATTATCAATAGCTTAGAAAATCGCATATTCATGCATTCGCATATCATTCGATTGTTTATTTATTGTAGTAGTTTGATATTGCTATTTAGTTTATTGTTATGGTCGCGTTCGGATACGATGCAACTATCTTCTTAGGTGATAAGAAATATAAGTATTATACATTATTTCATAGAGAAAAGAATGTAGTCATATGACCTATGATACATGTTTTTAGTATATACGTACGTGGCTTTATACGTCAAGCGTGTGTTGTTCAGTCTTATCGTTTTGTGGTATAGCAACGATCGACGGCAAAAACAGTATACTCGAAGTTTCGATATTACTTGCAACATATTATCGATTTAAAGAATTTTCCTATTCGCTTGTAAATTTGCCGATCGTTTCGACGCATATAATTTTCAAAAGATTGTACCAAAAGTTATACGAAAAAGGACATAAAAGGACTCTTTTCATATTTTTCATGTAGTAAATACGATACATTTTTAGAAAATATCTTCTTGCATTTAAATTAATCATAAACGAAGCACAAACCTTCACACTTTTTCTTCGATTAATAGAAATTTCAATAGAAAATTTGTATGTATTTTTCCGAGTCATCCTTTAAATCATAATCACTTTTTAATCTGATTTCTTTCATGCGAATAATGTCCTTGTAAAATTCAACAAAAAAAAAAAAAAAGAGAAAACAAAAAGAGTCTTTCGCATTCGAATGATAACGAATTAATGTTGTTAATTGTGAATTAGTTGGTAGGTAATTGAATTGCTCTTGTTCGCATTATATTTCGAGCTGCCGTTCCTGTTTAGTGATCGATTATGCTCTCTAAGCGCGCGGTACGAGCTCGTCCGCATTCAATCATGGTACCCAACTAGCTGACCAATTAGGAGAATTCGAATAATCAGGATGGGAGGAATTAGTTTGGGTAATATGTTGGAGCACGTGGATTATTATTAGGTTGGAATTTCTCTCGGGAGAGATTCGAGATTTAACGGAAGTGAGCGCGTTAACGTTTTCGCGAACAAAATTATTACTTTAACTCGATGATGGCTGTTGGACGAAGAACTGTATGTATTTTAGTTATTAAAATAACAAATACTAAAGTTTCGTTATTTATTTTTTATTAAAACTCGATATTTTACATTTAATATTTTGTAGCCTTATTATAACCGATATAAAAGTATTTTAAAATCAATATAACAAATAATATTTTTCTTTAATCGTATTTTATTATATTTTACAGTATACTGTATACGGTATAAAGGACAATATTTCGAAGCCAAATTAACCAAAATAAAATGAAAGATTCATTTTTCTTTGATTAAAATGTGATTCCTTGTATTTATCAGTTTGTTCTACATATGCGATAAATTATGAAATATTAAGATTTTCTATTCGATGTATCATGATATATATCACCTTACCGTATTCTGACATTGGCGGTTGCTTCTATTGCTCACCTCGAGAATATCTTCGAGCCCTGACAAGATCGATAATGGACAATGCACCTCGTCGTCCTTGCGGAAACATATTACGATTCGCATTCTGTTTTACATACATATATACATATATATATGTACCGTACATCAAAAATCAATGCATTTCTATGCACGTATATACCTTGTATAAGATTAAATCAAATCGATTCTCCCTTGTTTTGTAAAAATTATTTCGATAAGTAGAAATAACATTTTGAAGGCGTAAAGTCCTATCGTTTGAAGATTAAAGAGAGGTGTTTCCATGGCCGTAGCCTATCTCAAAGGCAAACAGAAAGGAAGAAAGATAGAAAGAAAGGAAAAAAGACAAGAGAGTAAGGAGAAAAAGAGAGAGAGAGAGAGAACTTTCCTCATGCGAACGATGACGCTTAGCGTAGCAGAGCCTCGACTTTGTAGAGAGTGTGTTATACACGTATATACATTCATACATACATACAGCATATATGCGTCGACTCGCATACGGATTCACGGGCCGGTGAATGCAGAAACGGCGCGTTTCAGGAGAATAGTAATAACGTTGGTGCCGTCGAGGAGAGTAGTGTCAGGACGGACTGGAAATGGAAAAAGATAGAGAATACGTGCGTACACGAATCTCTCGTTATTCTCCCTTGTATCGTACGCAACGAGCATTCCCGTTTACGTAGATGCATTATTAGTGTGTATGTGTATATGTATAGTAGTAGAGTATAGTAAAGTGTTATAGTGGATGGGTGGACATAGTGGTGGCATATAGGTGGAGAAGCCAGAGATCATCGAGCGAATCCGTTTCATTGTCGTACGAGCCTTGTTCACTATCGTTCTCTTATCGATTCTATTTCTATCTTTTTTTCTTTCTTTCTTCCTTTCTTCCTTTCTTTATTTCTTTCTGTCCTTTTTAATCTTTCTCTCTTAATCTTTCTTCCTCTCTGTCTGTCTATTGGTCTCTCTCTTTAACACTGTTTAACTCTTTCATTCTTAATATCTCATTTTTACTACAAGTTTTAAATTCGAAGACAACAGTGAAGAAGGAAAGTTTTTCTAAGAAAGTTAAATAATTTAGAGACAAGTGAAAATCTTCCTTTTTGGCTCGAATTAATCTACCGTGCAGGATAATACAATGTGGTAGGTTTTACATTGATTTATGTTTCCTTTCTTTACTACACCTATTACTGGTGAGTCCATTAAGGACATTATTTGCACGAAGGAAATACGGACTACAATGGTGATTAAAATTTAAAGGACAACCAGGAAAAATGGATTCCAATTTTTCATTGAAATTTTTCTTATTCAAAGATTAAGTGTGAAAGTTTATTCTTCGCTTACGATTTAATGTAAGAAGATATTTTTTTTTAATTTATGGCATCAACTATCCATAAAATATGAAAAGAGTCTTTCAATAGATTAGTTCAAAGTACATTTTCAAGGAAGCGTTTTTGATTATTTTTGTTTGCTTATTTTTTCAATTGGAAGAATAAGTTTTTAGTGAAAATTCAGTCATAATCGTCTGCATGTTTTACATATATTTATTTTCAGTAATAAACCTACCTAAGTGTTATTGTTTTATCGAATTCGTCGTAATATGTTTATCCTCGTGTGTTTTGCTTATCGATTATGTTCGTTACGCAAGTGATCGATCGTGTCGTTGCTAGAATTATTTCTAGCTTGTGCAAATAATTGATTTTTTTTTATATCGGTGTATAGATAAATTATTATATCTTGGACGTATAGTTAATGAAAAAATTATTATCGTAAAAGACGAGTGTAAGGAATGTTTTGATCTATTTTTCTGTTTTCTTTGGATAGATAAGAGAAGATGGAATTTTGAATTTTTCTTGATTGGTGTCAGGAAGTGCAATGATAATATTCGAGTGACATTTTTAATCGATAAATATTACACGCTTATGTGTGCGACAAGTGTTTAACCCTGGAATATAAATGAGAAGCATTTTAATAGCAGAAACAAGAATTAATATTACGGAAAGAATAAATCATTGGTATGTAAAAATAAATTAGCTAGTTGAAAAATGATGAAAAGATAGGAATAATACTTTGTCGAGATAAGTATAATCTCGAAGAATGTGTAAATATTTCTTTTATACATATATAGAAGAACTTGTAAATGCACCATCCTAAAACGTTACATCTTATTTTGATACGTTGTGTACTTGAAATGAATTACCTGAGTAAAAGAAGGAGTAACGTTGCACGTGTCAATGTCACGTGATATGAAGCATGACCAAGAATTTTTTTCACATTGGTGCTATACTACCCACCTTACTTCGTGCATTTTTAATTAAGAAATAAGTTATACAGATGCGTAGAAAATAAAACAACAAAACGTGCGTATGCATTTCTAATCCAGTTTTCTAATTTCTTTTTCAATTGATATTACTTCGCGTGTAAAGAAATGCATTGATCATCGAGCTCACGGAACGACTTTACTTTGTTTCGTTTCGTTTCGTTTCGCTTCGGTTTGATTTTAGAAATCGCAACGTTTTCTTATTACAAACGTTTCAAGTATTTCTCGGTAAAGAGAAAGAGAGAGAGAGGATTCTCTTAGATCGTGTTGTCATTTTTTTCAGAACCTATCGACGAGACATGTTTTTAGTAATAATAACGGACCATCGTCTATGAAATATTCATTTTGCGTTGTTACCGTTCGTACGTCTTGCAAACGTGACACTTACAACTCTTGACCGATACTTGAAAAAGAATAGAAAATTTTCAGGCCGTTTAGTCGTGAATATTAAATTTACATAACGTTATTAACACATGAATGCAATTACAACATCGTTTGTATAACCGATCTATGCATTTTACGATGACAATGCACTCGTGTCACAACGAAAATAAAAATTTTAATAAAAAAAAAGAAAATAGATGAACAATAAAAAAACTAATAGAGAGCTAACGGATAAACGAAAGGCCCATAAATAGAGCGTATATACAAGTTACTTTTCGAACTTGTGCATTTTTAATTCTTCTTTGAGAAACGTTGCATAATTAACGGCTTTCACAACATACTTTAGCACAGGATATGCCTTCAGGCTTGGCTATTTATCGATGGCTTAAAGTTGATAGAAGATGATCGATAAGAATAGTACGGTAAATGACATCAAAATAAGCAACAAAGAGATATTCCATCTATACGTTTATTCTTACTTTAACATATCATAACGTTACGTAACTTTAAAATCATGTATTTATGCATGTCATTTAATTTATTCGTCTAACCATTAATACTTACCTTATATTAACTAACGTATAAGTTATATTTAATATGGAATAATTACTTACATCAGAGCTATATAAACTGTACTATAAATTCGCATTATATAATTGTTTCATATCTGAATCAAAATTAGGTCATAGAGAATTAATTTCATCGAATTGATATAATTTATATGGTATGAGATGACAGTCCAGGTGTATGGTGTACAGGTGTGGTAATCAATTTCATTGAAATTACGACAAGTTGAAGTTATGCGACTTGTGATGATCTTAAAGCATGTGTTACGTGCGTTGGATCAAGAAAGATAGGAAATATTTTCTCTCTCTCTCTCTCTCTCTCTCTCGTTTTTCTCTTTTTCGTGGCGTCGACATACATACATAAATACATACAACGCGGTATCTCTCTAAAGCCGCTACTCGGTCGACCTAAAATTTCGCACTCTCTCGTCGATCTAGGCACGACTCCCGCGAAACACGATAATAGATTTTGTTTGTGCTCTTCGTCTGAGTAGTTCTACGTATTCGAATATTTTATTCTCATCACAATTCTTTTTGAAATAATATCTCTTAGTGTACTCCCCAATAAAAAGCAAACCTAATCGACAATATGTCTACGTTTTTATAATATTTTTGTCTTTTGGCCTTTTCCTTTTTAGACATTTACTACGCAAAACTTAAAGATACTCAATTATTTCTGAACTTTATCGCTTTTTAAGAATTTTAATTTCATTTGCCTTTTAGTCACAATTATTAATTGTAAGAAAGCTGTATAGACATTACAAAAAGTTTAATAGATATTATCAGACAATTTTATTTAATATTAAAGGGTATCTATGTGTGTATTATAATTAAAATCTAATAAAATTAACTTTGAAATTTTGTGAGATATAGAAGAATCTATTTTTTCAATTTTTACGTTTATTAAATATATATATTTAGATAAGAGTAATTAATTATACTATTGACTTAAATAAATTGACTTGAAATTTATATAAAAACATAAATTTATTCATAGCTAGAATTAATAAGTGAATTCAAAATGAATGTATTCATAATTACAAAAAATATCATATCTAACAGAAAAAATATAAACTCAGCAGAAATGTTAAAAATAATGTCAGCAAAAATTATTCTCTTTCAACGACAGTATACCTATCTACGTTGTTATCGTTTATTTTTGTGTCTTTTGAAATATTTACGAGGTAATGTAAACGCTTGGCACAAAAACTAAAAGACATTCGATTAATTTCATTTTTTTCGTGATGCTTCTCGTTTAAAAAAGTTTTGTTTTTTCTTTACAACGAGTCTACAGGTATTTCGTACTTTGGTCAAGGTTTTTAATTAAAACTTCTATTAACTTCTAAGGCGTTTAGACAGGTTTAAGGGGATAAGTTAAGCATCAAGTATGAATATTGTAATTAGATCGATCGTTAGTCGACATAAGGTCAACCGAGGTGACAATGTACGCAATTTCTTTACTACGCCACTAAGCAAGGCCGAGTTTATCAAGAAGTAAACTAACCAAGAAACTTATGGAATATTCGCGATATTTTGTTTTTTCTTCATTAAATTCATTGGTCGAGCGAGATTCCGTTATATCGTGAATTTATCTAATGCACAACATAAATAATCGATAAAAACGATCTCGAAAGCGGTCAATCGAAACGTTAGATAATTATTTATTAATTCATTGTTGGAAAAAGTGATCGATATAAAATAATAAAAAAAGTTGTTAGTCATTTCTTGGAATAAAATAATGGTTACATATTTCATACAAGCTTGTCTAACAACAAAGAATACAATTTTATTTTTTCTCGAACAGAAACTTTGCAAACATTGGAACAAAATTTTTTATTTAAAATTATTTTCAAAAAGACATATATATGTTTTAATTACCAACAATCCTAGTAACACTAAGTATTGAAAAATATTGAATACACATATATTCAATATTTTTCAATATTTTGTGCTACTAGGGAATATAATTAAATTTACTGACTTAACATCTATTTATAATAATAATTTTGTTGGGTGTGAGGCAGGTGAGTAAAGAGGGGTTGATTTGTTATTTATAACAAATATGAATTCACTTTTTCCATAGAATACAGTTGATAAAAAAAGAAAAGAAAAATTGCTAGTATCAAGAAGAAATTATTCAAATGTGGACCGACAAAGGAGAAGGAGCAATGCAAAGGGGTTAACATCGTGGTCTTATTGTCTCTTAGGAAGAAGATGCGACGGCTGGGTGGGCGGCTCGAATTGGTATGAATTGAGGTCTAATGGAATAAACTTACACGCTTGGCCTGGCCTTTGCTCGACGCCTCTTTATTCCGTTCACGTTTTCTTTCCTCTAGGACCAGTGGTGCGCAAATCGGGAGTCGCGACCCCTAGAAGAGTTTCTTGCCAAATTTATAGAAATTTTTTGTACAATACAAAATATAAGCTTATTCTTGAACAAGTATCAGGTATCATTAAAATAGTGAAATGATAAAATAATTTTTATAAAAATAAACATTGTGTACTGTGTCTATTCAGGGGTAGCGATCAAATTTTATACGAAATGGGGAGTTGTATAGGAAAATAGTTTGTGCACTACTGTGCTAGACGACGATGACAACGACGACGACGACAGTGACAAAGACGATGGCAACGGTGAAAAAAGAAGATGATATAAAATCATTTAAAAAAAATTTATGCATCTATTCAATCATAATTTTGGTGGCCATGACATTTGAATAGATCGATTGATTGATATCGTCATCGAACGAAAGGTTGTTTACGCTTACGATCAACTTTTCGGAGTAGTATAATAATAATATTAATAGTAAGAAATAATTTATGGAGGAATTGTAATATTAACACGATGGGAAAGTTCTCAAGGTCATATGCGGAACTGCGACTAGGTATACGTCACACGGTATATTTAATTGCTTGGCGTAACTCGCTTGCGCGAATACGTGAGCAAGAAGAAAAACTATGTAATTCGAGTTACTCCACGGTGTGTCGTAGAGGCATTGGCGAGAACGTTCAAGAAGTTAGACAATCATCGTCAAAAATATCTTTCTTACGATGCCATAAATGCATTTAAATAATAACGAATAGTAGGCTGCTTAAATAGTACTAAATGTCTTAAATGCAATGGTCTCTTCTTTTCTGAAGGACAATTTGACGAATTTTAGTCGAGGAAACATATGAGAGTTGTAATAATGGCACACCCAAAGTCTGTTTAGCTTCCTAATTAACGTAGCATCCATTGATGCTGCGGTGACGAAAAAAAGGCTATTACGTAATTCATAGTACATGCGTTGCAAACAAACAACCTGAAGTCGTTGGAAACATTGGTAACGAAGAACTTAACAGAACCCTGTCATTACCGAGTTCAACTGACAATGAGTTATACATGTTCACAATGAGTTTATTCTATTTTGATGAGAATTTTTAAAGTACTTTTTCACATCGTCATCTATGTAAGGAAATATTGTATTCAATGAGGAAAAAGGGGTACCAAAATGGCGGACGTTGCTAGAGACAATGTTATTGGAAAAATGTTGGCATCGTGAACATGTGTTTAAATAAAAGGAAAGATGTATAATATTACTAGAGTAGACAAAATTCACGTCTTAAAGGGGGTTTCGAATTGAAATGTAGCTATGTCAGCTAACCCAGTTCTCAGATCTAACATCGTCCAACAGGGTCGTCGCCGGTGAACGCACTCTCCTCCAACTCTCCTTCAACTCTTCGCATATACCCAGTTTTCTTCGCTTCAGGCAGAGCATCAGTAACACTATTATTAGTACTCCTTTAACATATCTTCTCTTTCTATCTTTCTATTCTAATCCTATCTTTCTCTCTCTTTTCTTCTTCTTCTTGTGTATCCGGTTGCATTACGAAGATGCTACGCCATGATCGAACAAGTCGCGATGTGAGCGATTTATCCTCGGGTACCTACTATGTTGATTAATCATGTAATCTATTTAAGTCGATCCTCTGGACGACTGGTTCATAAGACTCTTTCTTTCTCTTTTTCTCTTTCTCTACGTAATAATTACGATAAGTTGAATCAAATGGCGCGTATCAGTCTAATTTGAGCAAATTTCTTGATTCATGTTGGTGGTTAAGTTTATTCACAGTGAAAATTTCGGGAATAGTTCAGAACTATTTCGTTTTCGGTTTGAGGAAATTGTGAAATTTATAAATTATGTTACATACTTCAGATGAACCGACACATTGTTTGAAAAACTTTTAAATATCTTTTCGTCTTAACAATGTTAATTATGCTTGTTTTACGCGTGAACGACAAACTATGAAGGATAAGGAGGAAACGAGTTATGCTCATTCTTACGCAGGAAAGAAAGAAAGAAAGAAAGCAAATTCGGGAAGAGGGAACGAAGTAGTACAGGCAAAAGTAATGCTTCGAGGAAGGCGGGGTGGGAAATGTCGTTGACGAGAACTAAAATTAAATTAACCAAGTGTTGGAGACACTTCTGATTCACCTCGGCACCGAGGGTTTTATTTGGAGATGGGCCAAGGGCAACGGACTCTGCACGCTGATGATCCACGGGTCAAACTGTTACGATTGCCCTTGAAAAACATAGTAAATTTTAAAGATTTTCAAGGGTCTCAAAGGTTTCTTACCTTTGGGAAATTATATGATGTCATCTAGTGAAAAACATGTATAGTCCGCTGTTTCAATAACGCAATTTATTTTCATAGCATTCTGGAAATAGGTCGACTATTCTATTTCGTTTCACTAATAATTTTATTATTCTCAAGTGACTTGTATATGTTTGTATATGTTCATACATGCTCTCAAAAAATATTCAATTTAATCATTCTAATTAAACAAATAAATCATATTAATAAGAGATAGTTAGTATTTAATTATTAAATACAAGTAAAAAATTATACGATCGTTAATCCCTAAAAAAAATTTTATTTATTTACAGTTTTATAGATGACCTTTTTGATTAGAAATATTGATCGAGTAATATACAATAAGCGCTGAGCAAAACCCCGTGAAATTGTATATATATTAACAGAAACGATTGTCTGGTTGCAGAACGTAGGGGAAAGCCGCATACCGCTACCACGGGCGGCTCGACCATCGTTTTTTCCCAAAGGAAGGGTTTTAGGAGGAACAAAAATTGGTACTGGTCGTCGCCGATCTCTTGTTCTTAGTTGTATGCAATCAGTGAATGGAGAAGACGATATTTCAATACCTAATTTAAAGTGTCCTAACCGGGCTACGTCAACACCTTTGTCTTCAGGTAATTACACGAAATTATGTAATTTTTTGTAACAATAATGAACACACGTGTTTTTTTTTTAAGACAATACTAATCGTTTTGTAAATTTTATTTTTTTCTCATTTAAGGAAACACGGGGAACGCAATTTTCGCGATATCTCCTGTCTGGGACATCGAAGAAAATGATGTGCAAAAGTTGGTTTATTTAAGTGAAGAAAAGAATAACTTCTTCAGGTATGAAACAAAATCATCAATTGCTTTCCTTAAAAAACTTGTCATATCATGGTTTTTTTATTGACACGGAAAAATAAGTTGAATTTTCATAACATTTTTTCAAAATATATTATCTTCCGTTTTGCTTATTTTTGGGTGAATAGCTGAAAAGATTAAATTTAATTAGAGATAGGAATTATTTTACATTAATTAATGTGTTTTACGAAAGTTGTTGCTTTTATTATGATTATATATACATATTCATTTTTAAAGTTGGATTTCGAATAATTTTCTTTTTCCATTTATAATTCGCTGCCTTATTAACGTCTATATTATTTCTGTTAAGTGACCGAAAACATAAAAAATAAACGAAAATGAAATAAATTGTATCATAAATAAATAAAATTATAGGTTCTTATTAGTTTTATGATCACCTTTCAAGTATAACACGTTTTTATTCTGATACAGCTTGCTCGAAACCACTGGCACGTTGAACAACAGGATTGAGGACGTAAGCGACAGCTGTCTCAGAGATGCCAGCTTGGGTCCCTATAAAGATAACACATCCGGTACACCATCGCACTATTTGATGCTTAATAAACAAAACTCTTTCGAGCACGACGAGAGTCTTGGTATATTGACGCCTGACCAGATGACCGACTTTACGGTCGCGCTGGAATGCTCCAGGACACCATCCTGCGAGAATCTAACTGGTTCCGGAGGTTCAAGATTAGCTCTGACTCGAGCTTCAGCCTCAAGACCATCAGTTGATGCTGAACCAACGGAAGAAGGTTCAAGCGAGCGTACACCATCACCGGAGGAACTTCCATTAGATCCAAAACCTGCTGAACCTGTGAGAGGATCCGTAGTCCCGGTAAGCTTCGTTACTTCGGTGACTAGCATCACAAGTTTAGAAGCAGGTTACCAGGGCGACGGTGAAAACTCAAGGCCAGCTAGTCGTGGGGCTGATCCACCTTCAGTTGCCCCACCACCAAATTTACCGGCTCCTTGTAGACAAGATCCTATGACCGATTCGGATTTCTTTACCGAAAGTGATGCCGATGCGCACGAAGAAATTGTACGTGGTGATAGAAAAGCACAAGTGATTGATGGAACTTTATTTTGTGCACCTGGAGGGCGACGATGTCCCAGTTTCACTGGCGAGGAAATGGACTCCAGTGGTATTTATTCAGATCTTGATAAAAAGCAAGATGAACGACAAGTTTCTGGAGAGGCTTTAGACGAAAACGAGGATAACACGCCCGATACTGTTGATACCGAAGTTTCACAAAGAAGTCAACCATCTCCTGTTAAACCAGAAGTTACACATGTGTTTTTAGATTTCGTACAAATGAGTCCACGAGTAAGTCTTTCCTCATCTAATAAGTTATGTTAAATACAATATAAACATAGATACATATTTACAAAATTAGTGACTTCTAAATTTATTTCTTTTAGGTTTTAACCAGTTTAGTAGATTCGTCAAATGAAGTGGATACGACATTGCAAACTGCAGAAATTACGGTTATCGAAGTTAATAGGGCAAACGATATGCCTAGAATTAAATCTTCGAATAAAACAGAATCGAGTTCTTTAAAAAAATACAAGATGCCTAAGAGAAATGTTGTATCGAAGATTAAAGCGATGATTGAATCCGGCCCTAAGGATGAGGCGGAGAAGGAAGCTAGACGATCCCAGAGATCTCAAAGAAAAGGAAGTCGATGGGATGCGGTGATGAGTAAGATCGAGGCCGGTAAAAACGAACAGAGAACGAGATCCTTAAGAAAGGAAGTTAAATCTAGAGTTTTACAAGGCCTAACGCAATCACCAACTCTTGGAGCAACATTACAAAAAGTTACTGATGCCGATAATAACAATAGCAAGGATAAAAGGTACAAATAGGTTTTAATTAACGTATACTTATAATCGATATTTTTTTTTTATTTCATCTTAATTAAATTTTATTGGTGACCATAATTGAACTTTCCATTATATTATTTTTCTTGTTTACGTCGCGGCGGTTATTAGTGGCAGATAAGCTAATAAATATGTAGCGCATGTAATAATTGTATTCAATTAAACACAATAATTCAATTCAGTATTATTTCATTTCTAAAAAATGTAATACGAGTTAAGTAAATGAGACGAGCGACAATTTTATCCAAATACGCTTGATATTTAACACGTTGACTGCCATGCCAGATTTACACATTCAGAGGGCTACAAGAGAATAATAATATAATATTTAACAATAAATTTGTCATTGTTGAATAGTGTATTTTTTTTTATAATATCGTCAAGTCAGCTATAAAGTTTAACATTTTTTTAGTTGTCAATATTTATTTTGATTTAATCGCTTAAATATTTGAAGCGATTTATTACTGTTATCCGACTTGGCAGTTAACGTATTAACATGTTATACAAAAAGCACTTACAAAAAAATGAACGTAGAAATAATTCTGATACTAAATAAATTAAATTTGATTTATAGAAGAACACGTGGAAGACAAACAGTAAAGTCACCCATGCAAGAGACAGCTAGAAGCTCGGTTCGAAGTTCCATGAGCGATCTCAGCAGTGCTCCCAGTAAAGAAGCTCGTAGTAAGTCAATTAACATTCATTCGTTTTGCTTTCGAATTGAATTCATCGTTTTTTCCTCTCTTCTCGCTTTTTCTCGTAACTAGAAACACTATTTTTCCTACCACAACGACTCGTTTATACCTAGCAAATCCTATTTGCGGGAATAAACTCATCGCGCGGCGCCGTCTCGTTCGTAATGGGAAAACTTAGGCGTGCAGAGAAAAATCTCTCTGATGAGTCTTTGGAATTCGTGCTAAGAGGATATTTCAGAGGCGTTATTTAAATCGCGTTAAGCATTCACAAGCGAATATTATGATGGTGCTAATCGTAGTGCAACATCCTGAAAGAATTTAAAGCGTTGTTGATATTATGAGTGGAAGTCGTTTCTAATCAAAACAACATTTATTCTTATTCATATATCTATACTTCGTGGAGCTTTCAAAAAGGCAGTAAAATATTACGGTTAGGATTAGTACTTCTTCATAGGTAAATAAAAAACAAATTCGATATATCTAAAAAAAGATATTATTTAATTTGGCTCATCGAACAGTTGTGTAAGTTAGCTTACAAATATAAGAGAATATTTAACATTGCTAAAAATTATTTAATAAGATCGATATGCAATATTAATAGATAATAATGAAATTAACATTTTAACATAATTAATTATGTATTCTATAAATTGTGAGGAAAATTACGTTACTCATATTTTATTATATATCAACGGAGTTAATCGAAAGTGATCCAACGAAATAAAGTGATTATTATAGCATAGTAATTACCATCCAATATGAACTAATAATTCCATAACGCAACACGGTAATGATCGAAAAAGCTGCTGCGTTGAGGCAAGAAGGCTATTTCGTGCTGCTCGTAAAATGTGCTATGCCCGTGACGTACGTTTACGCGTTCTTGGAAGGATTGAAGAAAGGCGACGAGAGTTATGTCGGCCGGTTGTGTTAGCTTATGTGTTCCTATAGCAGCCGTTCACATAGTGGGGAATGAAAACCGGGCTACGAAACGGGATAGAAAGGCTTGGAGAACAAACGTCTGCTAGTTGGATAAAGTACAATGAAAAATAGCCTTACGATCACCTTCTATTTCTAATATCAAGATCCAAACGTTCGGACTTGCATTTTCTTTAGTCTTATGTCATTTTTCTAGATGAATAAATGCGATTGCATTTCGACATACATAGAACAGTTATATCATCAAACGTCATACATTTTTATTATCTTTACCGACTGTAATAACATTGTATCATTTCATATTTTTTTAAATGGAAAAGAATTAATATCGTTACTATGTCTATCGTTGGTATTATTATTGCACTATCTTTTATTGCAGCCTTTAATTTCAACTATTATCGGCTCGTTATTAATTAAAATTGACTGTTTTGAAAGTATTCATGTACGTGGTAATAATTTTACGGTTATTTTAATTCATTTGAATTTAACGTATTAGGTAATGCAAATATATTTCGACGATTTTGTAGGAAATCAAATAAATGTGTCAGTAATTAAGTAAACAAAATTATATAGATTTAATTTATATTTTACAATTATTTATATTATATAAATTAAATCATAAAATCAATAATACTATTATTATCAAAATTTAAAATATTATATATAGGTAATATGTATATATAAACTATATTTGAAAATTTTATTCGAATGCAGCCAAATTAAAAATAGTCCGCATACAATGCGTTAACATTTTTTGATACTGATAGAGAACAAGTTAGCAACAATAAAACCTCGATTATGTTGTCGACATATTAGAATCATAATTGAGAAAGACCTTCTGCGCATGTCACGCTTTGTTCCTTTATCGCGTACATTTTCGCGACAAAGAACGGAGCAGCCATCAATACGCGTATTCATCGTTGCCGACGACCATGCCCGTTTCGACCATAATTTCGGCGTATAGTTCTTCGATACCGCACTGCGGTTGTAAGCATAAGAAAAAGGGCGTGGAATAGCGTTCGTAAAATGAGCAAATAAAAGGGGGAAATTAAACCCCTTTCCTTTTTTATTTTTTTGTCGATGCTAACACTTGGCACGTTATTCCTTTATTTAATCATTCATTTTTTACTAAAAGCAATTATTACGAAAGAATGGCTAAACAAAATCCATAATAATAATTTACCATCCCTGTTACCTTAAATTCGTCCTAGTACGTCGTGTCCTTGAACTTCTTCGTTCTTCGACCTAAGATTCTAATCTTCGTCTTTATTATTAGTTGTTAGTCTCACTTAACCCTCTCACTATTTTTTTATATACAAGAAGAAATTAGATTTTTATTAATGAGTGACTTTAACAATAGAACATAAATTTAAATATTACTTTTATAAAAAAGAGACATTGACAAAGTGCTGGAAGTATAAAGAAAAACGTGTCGAATTAGCATCTTGCTTGTCACTCGTGTATACGTATACGTGAGAAAGTTAATCGTGCAAAAAAAGAAAGAATTTCCATCGTCTACCAGACGATCCCTTTCAAAGATAAAATTCTCCCCCTAATGTCAATATAAAATCAACATAGGTTGGTTCTGGTTAGACCCTTGACCTCGGATTTCTTTAGGGCGGCGGCCAGTATAAGAAACGTACGTACTTACGTCAGAAGAGAGGGTGGTGGTGAATCAGAATTTTCGCTGGGTGAGCATGTGCGTATGCATGGGAGGGTTGTTTTCTATCGACCCGATGACTGGTGGCGCGTCTCTCGCGAAACTCGGCCACGGAGGTTGGTGCTATGGGTGCCGGAGGAGGAGAAGTACAGACGGGCGCCCCTCTTCCGGCGCCATTGGATAGTTTGCTTTCCATCGAAGCCGTTCCACCGGATGGAGGAGGCTGAGGCAGCATCCAGTCGGCAGTACTCGGCGGGCATCGTGCACGCTCGGACGTTGCATATATGCGTCTTTATTGTCTCTCTCTTTTGCACTTCCGGAGCCTTCTATCTTCTTTTTTTTCATTCAACCTTCCATCTCCCCCTCGTTCCTTCTGACCATTCTTTCTTCTTCTTCTCCGATCTCTCCTATTCGAGTCAGCAATGAATCCCGAGTGGTTCGAACTTTAATCGAAACGTTTGAAAGAAGAAAAGACATCCAACCATCATCAACGAGAATAACGTGCTACTGTTAAATCCGTGTTATTTTTGTGGTTGCCATATCGTGCTGCTGTTGCAGTTTAAATCGAGATTAGAACGTTCTTCTCTTTCTCTTATTTTCTCGTCTCTCTTTAAGGTGGTAATCAAGAGAGGGCTCAGGTCAAGTCGCGGCTGCGTTCGAAAGAGGCTGTTCGTTAGCACGTCGTTGTGACCTCGTTCCCTCTTCTTCATCTTCTCTTTCTTCTTCTCCTTCTGATCGTTGTTATTTTGTTACTTTTTTTCTCTCCTTTGACTTCTATAGAAATACATCGACGTAGGTTTATTTGAATATTTTTTATTCGAATATTATAATAAAACCAGATTTCCTTTGATTTGGACTTTCAACAACGACGCACAATCATCGGCGCTGTTCTCGAGAAATTCTCGCTTGAAATCGATTTAGAGGCTGCGCTCTTCGTCGGCGAGAAAGAAAAGAAAAGAAAAGAAAAAGAGAGTCTTGGCACGCTTGAGAGACTTTCGGAGTTAATCGAAAGGAGAGTTTTCTTTGACGAACAAATTCTCGTTTACATTTTTAAGATGCCATCGAGACTGTCACGATGTTGGAAACAAAAGATCGTAAAGAATTCGAGCTCGGTGTTGCTCGAATCATCGAAACTACGAAATCATCTAAACGTTCTTCCAATTTCTTCCAAAATCGGTGATATGACGCGATGATAAGGAATAAATTCTATCGATTTTCTATGTATGGAATAACTCGAACGAATCCTTGTAATTCTTTTCCTTAAAAGAAGAAACGTATTTATTGCGTTTGGAAATTTCCTTTCGTCGTAAAAGTGAGATCAAATTGGTTAAAGAAGACAAACATAAGTGTATTAGTTGACTATCGTCATCATCATCATCACCATCACCATCACTACCTACCTCATCATCAAGAAGAAGCAACCAACGGAACCTTCGACGAGCCGAACGTGAAATGCATACTAGAGAGTTCCTTTCCTGTAATAGCGCGCGAAGAAAAGGTCTTCAGGAGGAATGGTTGTTTGAAAGTTCAAGGTTCAACAACGACGAGTACAACAATAATAACAACAAAAAGAAAAAGAATGACGACAAGTGGACAATAAAATATAGAACAATCGTTGATTTCAATAAGATAGATCAAATCTGGCAAAGATAAATGGAAGAGATCTAATCTTTCTTCATTTTAAGATAACCTTCTTCTTGATTAATCGAAGATCAAAATTTTAGCTTGGAGGGAAATTTTCATCTCGGATAAAGAGATTATTGTCAAATAAAGGACAATTAAAGGAAAGGAAATTATATTTCGGAGAAAATTGAAGAAGAAACTTTGAAATCGTAAGATTCTCTTCGTACTTTGAGAATTCGTACTCGAAGAGGAGCACTCGCGGGTCAACGGCACTCCTGGTTTATTTCCGGCATTGCCTTTCCTCGTCTTCTACCTTCTTATACTACGTACGTGCGGCACGTTCCTTCAACGGAGCACGTTTGTTCTCCTCTTGCTTGTCTTACTTCTTCATCTCTCTTTCTCTCTCTTTCTCTCTTTCTCTTTCTTTCTTTCTTTATTTCTTTCTTTTCCTTTCTTTCTCTCTCTTTCTCCCTCTCATTCGATCAACCGGCAGAACGGGCAGGTGCAGCGAATAGCAGCCGACGACCACGTGCGTTTCCAAGGCCGACGAGCAGCGGTCCTGCGCCACCACCACCGACACCAACACCACTACCTAACAACCATCGTTGGAACTCTCCGATCTTACCTACTTACGCAACAGAATCAGATGTTAAACCTACGACGACGGGTGGTGGACGCGCGACGAATCCGTTCAGTGAAAGAGAACGAACGCTTTGGAATTATATATCTTCAGAGATCTGGAAAAACAGAATGTGCTTATTGTGATTATTGCTGTGTGTGTATGTGTATTATATGTATATATGTACGTGATATCGATCCGTGCTGATAATTATTTCGTTCCTTTTCAACGTTGACAAAAACTGATCTAAAAATCAAAAAGGAATCGATTCATTTCTCTGGAACAATATGAAATAAAATTGACTTAAAACAATTGGACAAAATTGTTAATAAATAACGAAAAATATCGTTGAATAAAATTATTCTTTATTTTGAAGAAAATGGATAGAAATCAATTTATAAATTGGATACATTTTGAATAAAACACGTGTATTTTGGAAAAACAAAATAAAACAAAAAGGATTGTCACACACAGTTATACCGTCTATAGTTAAAGATAAAATAAAAATGCGGGCAAGATTGTGCGTTCGATCGGAAATATTTGCGTTCCAAAGTTCGATCAATTTCCAAGCGATCCTTGAGCTCGGCCTTCGAGAGAGGATCAGGTGAAAGTTTCGGATCGTTTTCCTTTACAATGGAGTATCAGTGAAGGGAAATTACGTGCCTTCAAGATGGGACAGCAAGGATCGAAGGGCAGGCCATCACTTCGTACGGATTTCGTGAGGGATTCTACGAAGATGAGATTAGGCAGCTTTAAGCGAGGTAGAAAACGTTTTGTGGACTTTTCACCTTTCTCTAATTTTCACCTTTTAATTGAGTTTCTACATTTACGATTAAAGAACTCGCAAGTAGGCTAAATTATTAATTCGCGTAATCTCTTAATCAAACTCCACGTGAATTACCTTGCGGATATTTTTTTTTAATATTGAAGAAACCACAAAGGTATTTTAATTACACGACTCTGTAAAATCTTTGCACATGCAATTTGTTCAATTACTTATTTTTCTTTTCTGCTATTTTATTTTCTACGATCTTCAAGAATTCATAAGGTTAAAATCTACTATGTCTACTAACTTGCTAATAAATGATTATCAGATATTAGGAATTAGACTAATAGGAGAATATAAATAGGTAGTAATCTTGTATTGAATACAAATTTTAAGATTTTTTAAAAATATTTGCTCATGATCCTTCGTGCTCCGTTTAACATAGAAAGTTTTGATATCCACGACGATCTACCTACAATGCACGAATATTCGTGGAATTGGACTTTGGGTCAAGTGATTTCTCCAGAGACTAAAGTATTTTAGGGAGGATCAAAGGTATCCCACTTTTACTGGGTGACCGAGTTTCTCTTCTACGCTCTTCCCTCTTGATGCAGTTAAATCGGGATAATTGAAAAATGGATGGCACATTGAGAATAGAGAGAACAAAAATTAACACGTGTTCGATTTAGTTCAGAAATAATAATAATTATAATATATTCCTAATAGAGATTTATTAGAGAAAATTGTTTCAATGATAAAGCGAATTACTTTAACTTCAAAAGGATGAACTTTAATTAGATGTCACGCTTTTTTGTCTTCGTCTGATCGATTCATCTGGGTCGATGACAGGCGAGAAATCGAATATGTTGAGATATAGTCTAATGATATATTTTTCACAAAGATTTCTTTTAAAAAATCGAATTAATAATACAACGAATTAAACGATGAAATTCAATTAGTCATCATATTTTTGTTATCTTCTCTAAATGGATTCATTCTGGTCGATAATAGACGAGAAATAGAATAAATTGAACTAGAAATTAATTATATTAATATTTAATACAATAATAATATATTTCTAATAGAAATTTCTAAAAAAAAATATAATTTGCAAATTACTTTTATTATACAAACGATGAAACTATACGTCAAGCATTTTATCTTCATTTGATTAATCTATTTCAATGATAAACAGGAAGTCGAATCAGTCGAGATGAAAAAATAAAAAAATAAAAATAAAAGTCAAGAGAAAATAAGTGAGAGTCCTCGAGGTGTACGTTATTATTGTTTCTTCAAGGATCAATGGTGATCCCACGCGAGATGAAGAGTTATAAAATGTTGAAAGATCTTAGTGTAGGATATAAGCCCAGTAGCAAAATAATGTCGTGAGAACGTTGCTCAAGTGTATCCTGTTCATTCGTTCCCCAGTAGCAGTCTTCCTGCCATAGTCGTCTCCTCCTAAAGAATTTCATTAGCCTGACATAATAGAACTACGCTCGCATGACTCTTTTTTTTCCCGTCAAGTGTGAAACTGGTAACAGATCGTCTATCTATTATCTTTTTATTACAATAGTTCGCCTTTTAATCGACTTTCTAGTGACTTTGAATAAATGAGAAAGGAATCAACTATTTCTAATGCACTAGTCTCCTTTTCACACGTCTTAATATATCTATTATCATAACACTTTTTCTATCGCCACGGTTAGTTTTTATATCAACTTTCTAGTGACTTTGAACAAACGAGAAAAGTCTCAATTATTTTATCAAACCTTACTCTTTACTTTCTTACACGTTATATATATTGAGTGACTCGGAATATTCGTCTTTATTTATAAATATATATTTTATTTATATTCCTAATATACAGTGAATTTAAGAAGTATTCAATTTTAAATAATTAATATTTTCTTCTAATACAATACTTTAAAATTCTTATAAACAGAAACATATTTTAAGATTATTGAACTTTTAAATGAGTATAAATTTTATTGCAAAAGAATATTATATTATAAAAAAAGTAAAACTTAACATAATTGATAAAAAAATTGACCTCACAAGATATACCCGTCCATCTCAAAAGCATTATAAGATGCAAGAAAGATTAACCAAGTATTACTTACAAAAATAATAATTATATTTTTATTATATCTTAGGCGAGTACAAATACTCTTATGATATAGTAAATCGTAATGAGATACAAAGTGATTCACTTGTATATAAACTTTCTAGTAATTTTGGATAAATGAAAGGAGAATTAGCTATTTCTAAAATACTAGTAATTTTGTTTTGATATATCATATAATATATAATTATCTTAATAATTATATTAATTATCGTAATATAACTTTATTATAAAGTGTATTATATTCCGATATATTTTGATCATAATAACTTTGTTTGTAGTATATTCGAGAAACAGAAAAAATGTATGTTGCCATAAAAAGTTTTGTGTCACGAAAGTATGCGAACCTCTAACGACGAGCCGTTATATGTACTCGTTTAGAAGGTACGCTGACGACTGGTTACTTGGTATACATACATATATTATAAACCTTTTCCTTTTCTCGTTAGCAGCGTAATCAACGTACGGAACGACGTAAACTTCGCTTTACTCGTTGCAGCTGCTCGTCGACCACGAGATCCAATGATACGCGAAAAAGTGTTAATCATTGGAGAGCGATATAATGTTCCACCTCGATAAGTTTCACGATCATTCGATCATTAGATATTGGATTACAATTTTCCTCTATTTCTCAAGAAATCATGATATACGATTCTTCATGATTGAATCAATTTCTTTCATATTTTTTTCCCTCATGTTCTTTTAATGTCATGTAACTTTAAAATCATACATTCATATACAGGATGACCCATAAGTCAATTGACATTAGCTGTTGTTTGATTCCAACTTAAAAATTTTTGAAATTTTACTATCAAAGTAATTGATCAATAATTAACTCTTTTTATATTTAAAATAAAATTTTTTAATAATTAGATTAAATATTACTAAATGAGAACAATTTTTATGATCTTCCAATGATAACTGATACGATAATGTTTTATTTACTTTATTAATTTTTTCTACTTCTTGTTTTGTAGAGTTAATTAATTTGGCATATGATTGGTTCAATTAGCATTGCGATAACTTTTTGTTGTTGTTAAAAATCTTTTACATAAAAATAAAAATATAATTATCATAAGTATTATTACAAATTTTTATTATAAATTAAATCTGTTTATACACGCACAGAAATGCATTTCTGTCAATTGACTTATGGACCACTCTGTGTGTGTATATTTTTTAAATCCTATTTTATTTATTTCACCGTAATATTATTAGTTCGAATGCGAACCATATTTGGTTTCTAAAAATTTAGTACAATTAAAGAATACAATGTTTTTATTTTTTTAAACTAAACAAAAATAGAGTTATGAAAAATGGTTAATCTCTTTAAATTGGGCACATTTCTTTTGGCTCATGACTTATAACACTTAAGATTGAACGATTGAAATGAGATATCTTATTTCGAATTTACCATTACAGAGAGATCACCGACGTCGGGAAGTTCACCAAGAAGAATTGTAGCAAATGGTCGTAATGGTCAACAGGGTCGTGTCAATAGTTTTCGAGAAAAGAAAAATTGTTCTTCAGTGGCAACAATCAATCTTGGTAAGTGTGAGGTAGAGGAGAACAAAAAGATTTATTGGTTATGTGTGTGTGTACCCTGTGTGTAAGAGAGAAGAAAGAGAAAGAGAGGAGAAACGAGATGGCTGATAAATCGAGTTGATGAATTTACGACGAATTTATATACGTTATGCTCGTCGATGAAGCACGGAGACACAAAGCTGAGGGCAACGCTGCGTACTTCCGGTTGGAGACCCAACACGATCAAAGCGGCTTTTCTTTACTTAACTTACTCCTGAATCTATGCAACCATTAGTACGTGTTTGCTTGTAACTTAAATGGCAGGCATCATTAACAGCGTCCTTTCTTTCTCCTTTTTAATATCAATTTTCATAACTTATGAATTTTTATTACAAAATTTGGACATTTTTTTATTAAGGCTTCTAAAATATTTAAACGAAACTTGTAAAATTTATCTCGAGGAACATTACCAACTAAGATGTCATCGCAACAAGCGTTGAATTTAAAATTAAATTCGTCTTATAGTAGTCGTTTATAGCTGCTCGTAACATAATTATTTAAATGTGGCATTTTAAATATTATTTAACGACAATGAAAGTTAAATCGAAATAGCTTGGAATTAATCGTTGTCAATATTTTGTCGTAGTCAGTATTGAAATAATAAGGAAATCTAGTATAATTAGGAACATCGTTATGTATATTTCGGAAAAATTAAGCTTAAATTTAGCAAGAATGACAATAAATTTTCGTTAAATACTAATCCCTTTTCATAAATACGAAGAAAAATTTAAAAATATCCTTTGTCGAAAACTTTCTGACAACTCAAAATATCCAGACCTTTCGAGGATTTAGAAAGGATAGGATATCGTCTACTAAAATAGTCCGATAAAAATGTCAAATATAAGGATCTTTTTTTTTACAAAAGTCAGGTAAAATTTTAACGGTTATAGCCCTCACCAACATTTCGACGAGGCCAAACCATCTCTCCTTATCCCCATTCGTAAATTCAACGTAGCATGTTGCTTGTGAACTACCGGCAAACAGTTCGTCGAGAGCTGCGAACGAGTGAACACTCGCACACTCTACGGGTATCCGCGATTAAAGAATTCTCTATACTTTAGTGAAGAGAGAAATGTTCTTTGGAAACGAGTAACAGTCAACCAAAATATTCCACGGCAGTGAGAACGTGATTTGTGAGCTGACTTGTGTGACAGTGATACGTGATCAGCATTAGTAATGATTGAAGTACCTCCGAATGTGGGCAACGTTTGCGCGCGGCGATCGAGTTTGCCGAGCCCGATGCACCAAGTGCAACTTACAGCCGACCGGAACAAACGTAACTTGGATTCTTCGAATTATAGTATATGCATATTTTCTTTTCATTTTTCTTTTCTTTAATATACTTTACACGATTATTCTATCAAGCATGCAAACAAATTTTATAGGATGTATTACCCGTAACGAGCACATTCATTGAATATTCATACATCAATGTTACAAATTAATACAATGTTACAATATTTAATAATTCCTATCCACGTCAATTTTAACAAGTAAACAAACAAAGTTAGTAACATGTGTTACTCATAATGTCTGTGTTCAAAAAACGTGTTCATAAGATATTTACATATCTGTATTATAGATTGTACTCGTCAAGTGACTAAATATTAATGTTTTGAGTAAAGTATTAGGTAGGTAAAATCGTGACATTACGAGTCCTTCAATAGGTAAACCCTTTTATCCATGTAAAACAAAGATTCGAAGAAAAGATCGAATTAGTTTCAGTCGGTTAGTTATATTTACGAAGTACGCAAGTTTCGAGACATGGTCGCAGGAGGAATTTTCAGTAGTTTCGGTAATTACGAATTTGTCTAATTTATGATAATCTGTTAAGTTAACTTTTTGAATAATTACGAATAGTGTTAAATGATTTTAAATTAATTCGTGCAATTTAGAATATTTTCAAATAATTATCATAAGATTTTTCCTCTTACAATTAGCTATTATTAGAAAATCTACAAAATCTACAAAAGTTAGAAGAAAATCGAGAGATAAATAGAGTGTATATAGAGAGAGATATGTAGAGAGATAATAGAGTGAAAGAAAGAAAAGGAAATTAAGAAAGAAACAAATAATATTCTCTCATAATTCACAGTGCAACAAATATTCTTTCTTTCTCCTTTGATCGATCGATTCGATTCCCAAGAAGATCGAGAGGCTCGATTATTTGTACACGTCCGATCGGTTATACGTCCAATTAAGCTCGCGTTTAATGGTAGCGTTCTCGATCAACCTGTCAAACTACTCTCGCTGTCGCATTGCATATTCGTCTCAAGATTTTGTGCTAAAACTCTTTGAAAATTCTTCTTTCCGTTATCAACTAACTCTCGAAATGATTTTCCGAATGAGGAAGTACATGAAAATGAAAAATAAAGGAATAAAGAAGAAGGAAGGAAAGGTAAAGGCGTGACGACTCAAAGTGTAGCGTCAAAGACCCGTACCTTTTTATCTTATACGGGCGATAAAACGGTTCACGGTGTTACGGTACTCGGAGGAGCTATCATCGTTACACGACTCGTAGCAACTACCGGTTAGCCGTTGGTTCGGCATGCTCTCGTTAACGTAGAGTTTTCTGTGTTGCAGAAAAGAGCCCGACGGCGTCGCGCAAGCAGCCGATTACAAGGAGATTAACGGCCAATGTCCCTGCCAAACAACCATCACAGCAACGACAGCAACAGCAGCAGCAACAGCAACAACAACAACAACAACAACAGCAACAACAACAACAGCAGCAACAGCAACAGCAACGTGCCACAAGACCAATAGAAAAAGGTATTTATTGATCGAGAATATTTTTAACTGGTAAACCTGATGTATGACATTTATTTTCATTCAAAATCAAATGGTATGATAAGATATAAAGGTTTTGAATAAAATTAATTTATTAGAAAAAATAGTTCTTTGAAAATATAATGTTATCCTTGGGATTAATATCTCTATAATACTAATATTTAAATAAAATTATTTATAAATTAAAAATCTATAATATATATATATCTTCGTTTTATCACATGATATGAAGATAATAATGGACGTTTGAAAAAGAATAAACAAACAAAAATGAATATTTTTTTTTATCTTGCTTGTGAAATCTTTCGCTATTTTTCCTCGAGCATCTTTCTTGGAGCGCCCGGTAATCGAAATCGAAGCGGAAGCAAGCTTCGAGGTTTAAATAGAACGTAATGATGACGAAATCGATTCATAAGATAAATCGGGATCGAACACGTTAGGCTTGATAAGTATTGACTCGTTAACGATCATCTAACTGTCAATAAACAAAGTTTACAATCCTCGCAGTATTGTTCGAAATTGCTAATAAATTGAAAGGTCTTTTTAAGTTTTCTCTCATCGTACTTCGTTTGGCTCGTTTTCAAGCTAATTTCGACGCTTGTAGAAAGTCGATAGAAAGAAATTGACATGATTTGTTTACCGATTTATATCTTTTTGACCTTGCTTTATCAAATAATGTATTTATGAAGATACTCATGGAAGTTTAATTATTTAGAGAAAATGTATAAGAATCTTATAATATCTCATAATATCCCGTATTTATTTATATTACAAATTTATATTAACGATGAATATTTTGTAATTCTTTTATTTACATATTTTCTATTTCTGTGTATTCGCTAGTAATTTAATTAATCGCAATGTTACGTTATTTAAATGAATAAGATAGTAAATAGATATTTCTCATATTTTCATTTTGAAATTCTTATATCTATATAATTCTTGTTCTATTGCATCGATTATTATCCAGCTGATCGCAAGATTACATCAGTAGAGTCTCTTCACTCTCTTCTTGAATAGTAGAAAATCTTTTTCTTTGAAAACTAGAAAGGAACTTTCACGTAGGAAAAATCAATAAACACATTCTGGAATAAAAATTCCTTATACTCATTTGTGTCCAAGCAGTAAAAGTTCGATCAAAAGCTGGCCGTTAGTAAATTTCCATATGCAGTACTAGAAAAAGAGAGAAAAAGAAAGAGTAAGAGAGAGAACAAGAAACTCACGGAAGGCCTTTTCCGAAAGAGGACGGCGTTTTAACGTTATCTCGTGCGGCATGAAACAAACGTGTTCACGTTGACTTTCCAATTCATTGACCGCGAGATACGGTTAGCTATAGTAATAGAAGTGGTAGTGGTGGTTGTATAGTAGTAGTAATAGTAGTAATAGTAACAGCAGTAGTGGAAGTTTTCTAAAAACGTCCCACGGTCATTTCGCGTTGCGTACGAGCATGTTTTCACGCTGGTTTACGCAAACAAGTACCTAAAACACACACAAATATATATATATATAACATATGATCTATCTGTGTATTCTGTTGGCTTTACTTTGAAGAAGAAAGTTATTCTGCTTTCACTGAATCACACATTAGCAATATACCACTGTGAATCTTGTCTCTTCTTAGCCCGCAGCAATGAGCGTTCTCCAAAGGTTTTTTTATTTATTGTAGCAAAAAGGAAACTTCTAGGTTTCTATCGAATGCTATTCATCGATCAGGCAAACTCAAAGTCTACTATTACTACGAGGATATCTAGAATTTCTATAACTCGTGTTTTCGTACGTCTTCGTACTCTCAATAGAATCGCCTTAATTTACGCTTTCATTAATCATTCATGAACGGTTCTCGAACATGCGTGCTTGCTCGCTATGAAAACGATCGAGACAGGAAGGAGTCTACAGTGATTCGAGAGGTTGGCTAGTTTCGATGACCTTAACGAGTTCCTGAAGGAAGGAGTAGTCTTTTTTAGATCTCTATGCGACCTTGTATAATTTATAGAAGATCAAATTGCGAAGAGTTCTTTATTATTAGTTTTATATATTAGGTTGATTAAGTTTAGACTATTTGATTGGTTATTTTTTTTATCTTATAATATTTATTTTATTCTTCTATAATATTAACTTCTCAAAAGTCAAATTGATGAAAACGATGAATGAAGAAAATCATGTAAATTAGAATAAACCAACTAATTTTCAAACTCATTTCTAATCGATAATTTTCTTTATTTGAATCAATTGTTTCTTTCAAACGGCTCCATCTAAGGGTGACCGATTCCAAATGGAAAAGTCAATTTATTCGGAACACGACTCCTTGAAATAACTTATAGCGATCGTGAGCGCGCACGCGTGCATGATCTCGCCTCCGACCTTTTTATTTCGCGCCTTCCCTGGAGTGGTCAGTTTCGCGCGAGCGCGAGCGCACACACGCATGGATAAACACTTATTGTGTGTCCGGTTGAAGATCGTTCATCCATCCTTATCATTATCCATCGTCTTCTATGCTGGACTTCGTTTCAAGGTGGTCTTAGTGTTAATGCAGATGTTAGTGATGGTAATACATACTAGTAGTAATACCAATAGTAGTAGTAGTAATGATGGTAGTAGTGATAGTGGTGGTGGTGGTGGGAGGGAGAATGTATCGTCTGTTCGAGGCAGCTTGCGGCTCGTGCTAATTCAGTCGAACCGCGGACTCGGCCAACAAATTGCCACGAGTGACGATTCTAATTCGTCTCAAAACGCCGATAGGACACTGTTATCTTTGTCATCACTTTGACGTTTCCTTAGAATATACCTTTCTTCATCTTCGTATCGGTTTCTTTTTTCTTCTGAATAGTTTTCTTAAGTTTTATTTAAAAAAAGTTTTCTTCCGAGAAAACCTTGTTATTTACTTTTTTGTAAATCAGAAAAGGATTGGACAAATTGTGTTTATCTTTCGTTGACATGAAAAAAGACTCATCAGGGAATGCAGTGTAGTGAAGAATCGATATTACTCTAATAGATTTTCATTTTATAGTGACCACATTGGAGACTGATTTTTTTTAATCTTTCTCGATCGACTACATAAATAGAAAAGAAACTGTAAATATCGGAAAGTGCGTAGATATCTGTTCTTAAAATACTTTGCTTTTGGTGTTTGGACAGAAATAAGAGGGAAAGAGAAAGAGAATGATCGAATCTTAGTAGGAAGGAAGGAAGTACATATGTACAAAACATCTCCGATAGTCGAGCCAAGGTGATCGCAGAGACGTCTTTGGTTTCCTCGCAGACTTTCCACGATTCCGAGAGTCTTTCTTTCCCTCTCTCTCTCTCGTTCTCGATCTATCTTTCTTGGTCTCATCGGACAGTCGACCTTAACCCAGTGTATGCCTTCGGCGGGACTGGCGAGCGTTCTTGGACGAGTAAAGCGATCAAGATCATCCGACCTTTAAGTGCGCTGACTTTTTTCAAGTCAGTTTTCCCCAACACGATCGCAAAGAATTGCGATCGGGGAATAAGAAGAAGCAAGCGGGGTGCGAGGATCATAATACCGTGCATGCTTTCACGTTCGTCATCGTCTCAAGAGAATGGAGCTCTATCGATGACGTAAACAGACCAAAAATCTTCGTCGCGTGTCGATCGATTTGTTGGCCCAATGCTGTTTTTGTCCCTTTATTAAAGTAACCTGGTCTAACTATTCGTTTTCATTTTCTCGAGATTAATTATAGATAGATTTTCATTGAAATCGATTTATCTTATTTAAACATTTGATTTCTTTCGAGAAAAAATGATTGTCATGATGATTTTAAAAAATTCAAATCTTCTTCGAGTTCGAAGACGATATCGGTTGGATGAACTTTCTCTTCGACGAACTCGATGAACGAATTTAAAAATTCTGGGCTAAAATATCATGGAAGATGCTCGTGAGACGAGAAAATCTTAAAATTTTCGAAGGACCGATTTCTAACGTCGGAGAACAACACCTTTGTCGGTAATGGCACCGGTGACATTGGTTACAGATAACACAAACGGCTATGCTGTATCAAGGACCAACACCATCGAAACTTGCGATCAGGCCGCTCAAACAGACGTACCCTATGATGTTTTTCACGTTAAGAGGGCTGAGCAGGTCATCCAAGCTTTATCCGTCACCGTACAATATTTGGCATATGAAGTAAGTTTCATTCGAATTTAATCGAATCTAATATTTGGAGCGTAACGAAGTCTCTAATTCAATTTTCAATTAACTAACTAAGTGAATTCATAACTTTCTATTTATAACAATTAAATTCGTTTTCTTTCTTTCTTTTTATTTTCTATATACGAATCTATTAAAGGTTAAGAGAATGAAGAATTGTTTTCAATTTCATAAGGATACGATTGGTATCTACTAAACATTATTTATTTGATTTCTCAGAGGCTATTCATATCTGTTGTAATTAGTAATGTTAATAACGTAAAGATCTAATCTCGGTAATGATATTGTTGTTCATAAGCGTGTTAAGAGAGCGAGCAATAAAAATACTCTTTAATTTTTTCGATAAACACTTGTTGATATATGATTTCACATTCTTTCAGCTGGATGCATTTTCAACGCCAAAACTGAAGAAAAATTACGAGAATATGAAGACCGAATGGTTAGCAGCGTGCTCGGATGTGGACGAGCTACGAGCGAGACATATTAACATGGAGGAAAGATTGAACGCAGCAAGGAAAGATCATTGTAAAGCCTTGGATCAGCTTCGTGAAGACCGTAAGACTGTGCCAAGTGTATTTGTGTTTCCGTTCGTATTCTGGCTCGTTACGGCGAAAACTTCTCGTGACGCAATTCGCAAACACCAGAACTAACCGCGAACTCCGTCGTTCCAAAATATTACATTATAGCCCTATACATATTTTTAGAATAACTCGATTTGACGTCGAGCCAGAGTGAATATGAAAAAATTAGGAAAAAATTAAGAAAAAATAGTAGAAAGAGAGGAGGGCGTTGCTCCCTTTAATTTAATCTTTTTTTTTTTTTTTTGACTTATTCATTTTGTCATTTTCTTTATATTTTATCAATAACAATCATTAGAGAATAGATTCGTCCGTTTCGTGACTATAAATTACTCGACGAGTAAACGCTATACTTAGTAGCCGAATGACTCATAATTTCTGAACGATTTTATCGTTCTTTATCGCATGGCACATAGCATTATGCCATTATGATGCTCGCATCGTAACAAGCGTAATGGTCATAATGCCGGTGTGAGCGGTGAGCGGACGAATTGGAGCAATTGTTAATTAAAATGAACGGGTTTGCCATGCCTACGCACATCACACGTTTATCCGCTATGTCGTCGGGGTCGGTTTCGAATAAACTTTAAAAAAACAGGACTATATGGTAACGACGATATCAAAGTTTAAAAAGGGTTATTTGCTTTCCAACGAACACAAGCTCGTAACGTCGATCGAAGAAAAGTTAATTATAGGTTGGCACGCTCGGCCAACGTGTGATCCATCCGTTCTTGTCTTTTCTATCGCTTTTGTTCTTTTCTCAGCTCAGTTTCGTTTATTTCAATCTCTCATCTTAGACATGATTATCAAGAACGAATCTCTCTTTGATATTTTTCAGTGGAGAGCCGGCACGCGGAACAGCTGGCATCTTTAGAAAACAATTTCCAGGAGGAGAGACAGAAGTGCGAGTTCAGGCTAAACGATTGTTTGAACGAAGCGACAAAGGAGCACCGAGCAGCGATCGCGAGGCTACGATCCGAACATGAGGCCGAATTGATGCGCAAAGATTCAGAAACCAAAAGAAGATTGGTCGTACACGATCAAGGTGCAGCCTTGGCGGCGGAAGTCGAGTCCTTGAGATCTGTCTTGGAATTGAAGAGTCAAGAGAACGCAGCCTTGAGATCGGAACTGGACGGCATACGCCGAGAGATCGAGGACAAGGACATATTACAGCAACGGGTAGAGATGCTTGAAGCGAGATGCGAAGATTTGAAGGCTCAGCTTCAGTGCAAGGAGGCAATGGAAAGACAGATCTCTCATAACAACGAAATGCTCCACGAATCGATCCATCAGGTCTCTAAACAAAATAAACGTCTTTTGCAACGTAACGAAGAATTACAATGGAGGTTACGTCAAAAAAACGAGGTAGTAACAGTCCTGGCGAATCAATTAGTCTCGCCACGACTGTCTAGATCCTTAGGTCCTGAACCCATAGATCATACGATATCGTTCGACAAGAATACCCAACAATCCTCTTCTATGATTAAGTTTTTAGTTGAGAAAAGCGATTCGGTCTCATGGACGCTTGACTTGGACGAAGCACAAACACCTGTAAACGCACCACCGAAGCTATTAACACCGGAGGGTTCCTTGTCGGTATCTCGACAAGGCTCTTTGAGGCTCACGCCACGAAGAACTAGTATTGATTCGAGAGCCAGATCCAAAAGTATCTCCGTAACAGATTCCGCGAGAACCGAAGATTCGAGCTGGCCATATTCCTCTACACCAGTTAACTCACGAAGAAGGCCCAGGAGCGACCCGTCATCTTCTTCAACCTCTTCTTCCTCATCTTCCTCATCAACTACTTCATCCTCATCAACAGCTCCAGCCAATCCCGTCGTTGCAGTTGCCGTAGCTGCAGCGGCTGCCGCTGCCGCAGCTGCCGAAGATTGCAACCCTGGCCAGACACCTCAGGAAGCTGGCGGCGAAGCCATGATCTCTGAAGAGACATCTGCTTCCAGCAGCGAGGACGAATCTTCTACAAGCAGCGATATACCTCGTCTTCCCATGCAATTTGCTTGGGGAAAACCCATCAATTAATACACAAATTAGCCAAGATTTTTGTTCATAAGACCGTAAGGATGGCATTTCGCTTGCCCTGCCTATCGACCCTGTCTCCCTTCGTATTTTTTCTCTTTTACGTGGTTGCATTTTTATACTTTTGACACCCCTCTTTCTTCAGAATCTTTCTATCGAAGATGTGAAGAGAAATACACGTACGAAGCCAGACATTAAAGTTGAATGTTTGTGGACGTATATATACATGATATTCGATATCCATCAATATCAAATACTTCTATATTCTTATATGTTTTCGTTATGACTTCATAGGAAGTTTTTTTGGTTTTTCTTTTCCCTTTTTTGTTTTTATTTTTTCGTTTTTTTAAATAAAGTTGACCGCGTATTTGTGTCATGGACAAGAGTATCGTGTAAAACCATTAGACATTCATAATTATTAACATATAAAATGATAAATGAAACGAATTTCTTGATTTTTGTTTCCCTTGATGAGTCTTGTAATTAATTGCAAAATATTATATTATTGTTTCATTCTAGTTTATTTTTCCTTTTTTTTCTTTTCTACTTCAAAATCTACTCGTTCACTAATAAAAAAAAAAAAAACAAAGAAAACATTCTATTATTTACAATGTATACAGGTGCCTAATACTTTTGGCCCAAGGATGTGTACATGTCAACGGATTTATCTAATCATGTATAAGAAAAAAATACGTTTCGGTCGTCTGGGCCATTACTTATTTAATTCGTGTCACTTTTACACATGTCCGTTTTATAAGAATGCGATTACATTAAGTCTGTAAATAGGCAACGATGTTTATAAATTAATTAATTTTTATCACAATTGTATATAGCCGAGAACATTACATCATATACCGTTTCCTTCCTCCCAAATCATCGATAAAAAATATTCGCTGCGCTTACATTTAATATGGCAGATTTTCATTATAGCCGCAGCCTAAAAAGAGCGGCGAAATATCGCAATGCCATTTCTTTAAAGGATCGCTTATGGTCTTTTAAATTTGAATGGTGAATATAAGGTTGGGTTTGAAGTAGATTTGTGTTACAAAAAAAGAAAAACTCTTCTTGATGATAACTTTGAAACGATTGTGCATTGCAGTATTCGCTGTTCATCTTTTCATGATGAAAGAAAGAAAAAGGAAGAAAAAAGAACCTAATAATTATGTTATCGTTCGATTTATCCGTGTTACAGTTTCGATAAGCTTATACGTAATACGATACGATAGGCTAATACACTAACAGCGGTGCGAACTCGTTGAAATTTTTGACGAGATCGGTATAAATTTAAATGTATAAGCCTATCGAAGTTGTGTATCGGTTTAAATCACGCCAGCTGAAACGAGAATCGAATGGATGCAAAGTTGATTCTAATCTGCTCTATTTGGAAAAACTGCAGAGATTACATTCGGTAGCAGTAGCTTAGCGATAAACGGAAGTATTATTCGCAGAGAAGTATTTTTTCTCTCATATGTGCTGGCAAATTTAATGTATTATATATTTATCAAATAAATATTATCTGAATTACCACAACCTTCGCTATCATTCAGAACTTGTAATACAATGTTGAGTTTATTTTTGCCTGTATATGTATATAAATACATAAATATAATAATACATTCGTAACGTATAATTTACGTTACAAAGTTTGTATGGATTGAATTTAACGGGTGAAATTAAAAGACATATAAGTCGTTATAACATTTGAAATTCTTATGAAATTATTTTTAATGTTGTGAAAATTAATTACGTTCCTTATTTTTGGAATCCAATTTTAGGGGAAAATTTACTTTTCTTTTTCCATTGGTTCTTGGGTGATCCTGCATTAGCAATTTAATTAATTATGGACAAATTAACCCTTTCATTGAGGAGCGATGAAAAACTAATTTCTCTTTGAGAAACCGGCGTAACAGTCTGAGAATGTGAATTATTGGGAAGTTAATAACAAAATGAACATAGTGCCTGAAGGCTATTCTTTAGTTAAATTTTATAGGTACATATATTGATATAATCAATTTTTGTTTACCGATTAAGTTAGCTTTCTATGATAAGGCAGTTTTTTGAGAGACTCGTCGTTTAACTTTTTTTCTACCAGATGGCGCGATGTTAAAAAAAATAGAAACACTTTTTGTTCAGAATATAAAATAATCTACCATTTAAATTTTTCATATTAAATATAGTTAGTAATTAGGAAAGTTTAACTTTTTTCTCGCCGAATAACATGTATACAAATATTTAGTTATGATATGTATTATAATTAATTATCAACGAGTGAATAAATTATAACCAAGAAAAATATAATAATTTGATGAAAGAACATAACCTATACTCGATGTTTTTGTATTATATTTGTCTACAAAGTTTCTTGTAAAAATGGATCATTCAAACATGAAAAGAACTCTTATTCCAGATAATGAGGTAAAAATTCTGGAACCGATATTAGTGAGATTAAATAAGAATGAGTCTACGACACCTGATATTCATATCGATAAATCTGAGGTAATAACTTATTATTTTGGGTTATTTTATAATTAATTAGTCCTTGTATAATCTTATTTTATTAATAAATTTCTTATTAAGAAATTTATTCTTAAATTATCTCTTTGAACAGTTTAAAATAGGGAGAGGAAAAGATAATGATGAAATTATATTAGATACATCAATATCCAGAAAACATTGTATTATAAGATATGAAGGGAATGGCGAATGGACCATCAAGGATTTGAGTTCTAGTTATACATTTGTTAATGATGTTCTTCTTGAATCAGGAAGTAAACGCAAACTTTCAGTTGGAGATATTGTTCAGCTTAGTACTAATAGCGATTATAAATATGTGTTTACTCTTAACCTTACGGAAGAAACTTGTTCTAAAAAGCAGAAACTTGATGAAGAATTATTTAACAATGTTTTGATGCAACAAAAAACATTTGTTAACAATCAAGAAAGTCAAAATAAAGAATTGCAAGATAGATTAGAAAATAAGCAAAACCATCAATTAGAGTTAAAACAAAAATTGAATGATTTGTTAACACAATCGGATATAGTACCAGATGATAAAGAATGTTTAAGGGATCAGATTGTAAAATTAGAAAAGAAAATAATGGCCAATAACAACCAAGAAAAACATTTGCAAAATATGTATCTTGAAATACTACAAAAATTAGAAAATGAAAAAAATTTATTTGAAGCACGTTTAAATGAAGAGAGACAAAAGTGGCAAAAGGCACTAGATGTAAGTAAACAAGAAAAAGAATTGCTGGAAGTTAAAATGAAAGAACGAATTGCAAAATGGAGAGAAGTGCAAGCAGAATGGAAGAATAAGATGAAAGACAGAGTAAAAAAAGAAAAAACCATTCAAGCGCGATTGTTAACTGAAAAAATTCAGTTAGAAGAAAAGCTTAAAGAAACTACACAAGCTTTAGAAGATAAAAAAATAAAATCAGAATCTCCAGGATCAGAAAATGGTATTTCTTTTTAATAATAAGATATATGATAGATATTTAAATAATTTTTACTTGTTTTTAATATTTTATTTTATATTTTATTTTATTTATTTTCTTTTTTCTTCTCCAAAATTACAAGAACCCGGGACTAGCATGTTTATGAAAGACAGCTGCGTATTACTTGAAGTTGTGGATACTTCAAAAACGCGCATCATAGATACTATAGATTTAACAGAAACTAATGAAGACAACAGCATAACATTCGAAGATGCGATGAACAAAGTTAGTACTATAATGGATGAACAATTGACATGTAGTGTATGCTCTGAATTATTTATAAATGCAACAACTTTAAATTGTACGCATACATTTTGTCTTCATTGCATTAACGAATGGAATAAAAAACGCAGAGAATGTCCAATTTGTCGAGTTTTTGTTACATCTATGAACAGATCTTTAGTTTTAGATAATTTTATTGAAAATATGTTGGACAATTTGCCTATACATATGAAAAATAAGAGAGCCGAAATTGTGAAAGAGCGTAAAGGTATGTTCCTTTCTTTAATGTATAATCATGTTATCTATATTTTTATATTTATCATAAAATTATAAATAATTTTTTTAGTTTTAGAAAAGATGAAAAAAGGCCGTAAAAAATAGAAAGTAAAAGGAGGTGCAAAACTTTGAAATATATATATATATATACTGGATCTTTAATTACAAAATTTGTAAAATAACAAAGTTATCAATAGAACTCGCTACAAATTTGGTACTTGCCAACTGTTAAGCAATGGGTTATATATTTTGTAAATATTTAATATATTTTTTTTTATTTAATAATTATTTACTTTTTTAGAAAAGACAAAGAAAAGAGTTTAATTTTGTTATAAATTGATGTTTAATATAACATAGTAGTGATTTAAAAGTTTATTTGATAAATATATAAAATTTTTATAAGAAAATATTATAAAAAAGTTCTTGTATTGAAACCTGTAAATAGAAAGAAAAAAAGAAAAAACATTAATTAATGTTTTTTTTTATATATTTTTTCAATGATTGAATTCATTATTATTAATCACATTCACATATCAGAATTACATTTACATATAAAAAATATTTTGTATAGCATAAAGAAATATTCCTAAACTTGCTGATTGAGTAATTTTATCATATGAGGATAACGGTAATTTAAGCAGACGCGCAAGTCGAATAATCTAATCGATTAACCACATCCAGATATCGATTTGTAGGAGCGCCTTGTATGCAAAAAGTTAAGTGGATCGATTTGACTTTTAAAATTCATGAATTAACAATAGAAATTCCACGTAATGCGTGTTACCAGTTGGACGATTTCGAATAGCATTTATTCACAAGTAACGAATTTTTTCAATTATATTGAAATATAATAGAAATTAACTAAGAACATAACCGTAAGATGAGGATAACGAGTAGTATATATATAAATATGTATATATAATATTTTATATTATTATTATATATATATATATATATATATATATATATATATATACTCGTTTAATATATGACCGTGAATCATATGGTGAAGAGGCGTGAAATTGTGTCTGCTACCGATAAAGAGATCTGTGATGGTATAGGTAAGTGGTAGAGAGGGAATGAGAAAATACATGAGAATCCACCTAAGTGAAATTCTCTTACTGCAATCGTTGCGTTGAAAGCTATTGAAAACGCTTGGGAGCGCTGCTGTTAGTTCGCGATTCCGAAGTGTTCGGAACGTCATGTTAATGGCGAGACATATACGACAATACTCTGTCGGAAAATAAGAATATATTCTTGCTCATTTGGAGCACTTAATTAGTTCGTGATTTGCCAATAAATTTGTTCGTACAAAGTACGGAGCAAGTACGTCGTCGCATTCATTTTCTCGTCGGGAAACAAGACGTTTCGTAAAGGATGGCGACCTGACCCCTTACGAAGGATGGAATACTGTGCGAAACGGTAAGGTATCTTGGTTGTCGCGAACTATATTTGCGAGCAAAAAAGTTCTAGATGATAGTGTGCATATTGGATGACACCGATAATCGTCTTTGATTCGTCTTCAAAAATTGTGCACGTAACACGGTCAAAGGTTGCCTTTTAGACGTTATTTCGATGAATGAGAACATTCCTAATGATTGCCATTGTCGTGTTTAATTTTTTTTCAACCCTTTTGTGTTCTAACGGCAAGTACCAATGTATATATATGTATATATATATATATATAGGACATCGTGCTATCATTTAATGCCACGTGCCTTTATTTATCGAACTGTTCAAGTCTTATTCAGAGCGCGCGTTTAACATTTAACAAGTGCAGCGTTCAATTATCCTCCTCGCCTCTTTCTAGAAAAATAACATTCAGCCTAAGCCATATACACCACGGGAGAGAGAAAGCTGTCAAAGTGAGTCTTAATATAGAGCTGCTGCTTCTAGTGAAAGAAACAGTTGTGTTTATTTGTGATACGTTACATTAAATGTTTAATTTTGAAATACGATTTTATAACGATTATTTATACGATTTATTTTGTTAACTTATTATTTTATTATTTTTATCTTACGTATTTTTACTTTTCAAGATAAAAAGAAAGAAGAAAAAAAAAGAACCTCTAAATCAATTTTATATTAGATAATTTTGCTGTGTCATTTTTGATTTCATAGTATAGTGTAATATTATATTTTCAGATCGTCAGATTGAAACCCATTTAGTTGGTGCTATAAAAGACATAAGGTGAGCATTTAAAATTCTATATATCTTATAACGATAGAACAAAGTGTGCTATTTATAACATCTTACTGACAATAATCTTTCTTTGTTTTTTGCTTAAAATATTGTCGACTGATGTTCAGTAAAAGTGTTTATTTATTTCAATTTTTATATATAATAATAATAATAATAATTATTATTATTATTATTAACTAGATAACTGTGATTGACGAATACATTCGTCATGCGGAGAAAATAGTTACCATTTGCTATTTAATTAGTTAGCTGTGGTAACCTCTTTGACAAGTGTACATAAATTGTGTAGCTAAAATGAAGCAATAACATAAAATATTATTTTTTATGGCGATTATACTCGTCAATCACAGCTAACTGGTTTATATAAGAGAATATAGTTTATTGTTTTCTCATTAATATCATCCTACTTTTATTATATTGGCATAAAGTATAATGATATTTTATACTTACCATACATCTGTATTTAGATGACAGACGTAGATCCGGAAACATTACTAGAATGGCTCAGTATGGGCCAGGGAGATGAGAGAGATATGCAATTAATTGCATTAGAACAACTATGCATGTTACTACTTATGTCTGATAATGTCGATCGTTGCTTCGAATGGTATGTAATGTTTATAAGAAATAATGATTTATCTATTCATTTAAGTTGTTTTAGTTGACTATTTTAATATTTATTAACTTTTCAGCTGTCCACCACGCACATTTTTGCCTGCATTATGTAGAATTTTCTTAGACGAACTTGCACCTGACTGTGTCTTAGAAGTAACGGCTCGAGCAATAACATATTATTTAGACGTTTCTGCAGAATGTACGCGCAGAGTAGTAGCTATGGAAGGTGCAGTAAAAGCGATTTGTGGTCGTTTGTCAGGTGCTGGATTAGGTTCCAGAGCTAGTAGAGACCTAGCAGAACAGTGCATAAAGGTATAATAAATAAATAAGGAGAAAAGGAATCTTTTTCATTTAGTAAATCAATTGTAATCATGTCAAATCAATTATAATTACTTTATGTAATAATATTTATATCTTAATTAATATGTAGGTTTTAGAACTCGTTTGTGCAAGAGAAGCAGGTGCTGTTTTTGAAGCAGGAGGCCTTCCATGTGCATTATGTTTCATCAGAGAGCATGGAGCACGCGTTCATCGAGATACATTACATTCTGCAATGGCTGTAGTAACTCGTCTATGTGGCAAAGTTGAACCTCAGGATAAAACTTTGCCTGATTGTGTAGAAGCATTATCAACTTTGCTTAGACATGAGGATGCACATGTGGCGGATGGTGCACTTCGTTGCTTTGCATCATTGGCTGATAGATTTTCCAGAAGAGGAACTGACCCTGCTCCATTAGCTTGCAATGGATTGGTTTCTGAACTTCTCTATAGGTAAAAATTAATAACAAATATGAAATTTATCTTCTATGATATATATATATATATATATATATATATATATATATATATATATATATTTATATACATTATAATGAATATTCTAAATTAATTTGCCATATAGATTATCAAACGCTGCAGGGCCTGGTACATCTATCACAGGAAATCCCAGTAATCCAAAGACACCTCCACTACCTGCTGCTACAACAACTGCTCCTACTCCAGAACCAAAGTCTTGTGCTTCAGTTTCCACTATAATCAGTCTTCTATCTACATTATGTAGGGGATCGCCATCAATAACTCATGATCTTCTACGCTCAGAATTACCAGATGCAATAGAAAAGGCCCTGAAAGGAGATGAAAGATGTGCTCTCGATTCTATGAGACTAGTTGATCTTTTATTGGTTTTATTGTTTGAGGGTAGATCAGCACTTGGTCGTGGCACTACAGGAGGCTCTTCAGGACCATTATTACCAAGATTAAGGCGTTTGGATAGTGCAGGTGAAAAGTCTCATAGGCAACTAATTGATTGCATAAGATCCAAAGACACAGATGCATTGATAGAAGCTATAGATTCTGGAGGTATTGAAGTTAACTTTATGGACGATGTTGGACAAACACTATTAAATTGGGCTTCGGCATTTGGTACACAAGAAATGGTTGAATTTTTATGTGATAGAGGAGCAGATGTTAATAAAGGTCAACGATCGTCAAGTTTGCATTATGCAGCCTGTTTTGGAAGGCCAGCGATTGCAAAAGTTTTGCTTAGACATGGAGCAAATCCTGATCTTAGAGACGAAGATGGAAAAACTCCATTAGATAAAGCTAGAGAACGTGTGGATGAAGGTCATAGAGAAGTTGCAGCTATATTACAATCACCTGGGGAGTGGATGTTACCGCCAAATCAAGAACATAGAAAACCAGAAACAGAAACTGAAGAATTTACAGAACCAAAGGGTGATCCCGAAATGGCTCCAGTATATTTAAAAAGACTTTTACCAGTATTTTGTACAACTTTCCAATCAACAATGCTCCCCAGTGTTAGAAAAGCAAGCTTAAGTTTAATTAGAAAAATGGTACATTATATCCAATCAGAATTACTTGTTGAAACGTGTGGTTCAGATAGTACAGGTGGCTGTGGTGCTATGCTTGTGGAAGTTATTGCAAATGTATTAGATAATGAGGTAAGATAAAATTTCTTTTTATACGTTAAGTATATGTTAGATATTCTTTAATACTTCCATAGCAAACGCCATTAAAAAGTATGACTCTTTGAATCATTTTAATAACCCAAGAACACGTTACAACAGATAGATAGACAAACAGACAAAAAGACAGACAGACAAGCAAAGAGTGCCAGTGATTTAGTTAAGATTGTTCACAGGAGGTTGAGATAAAGGCGCCATCGCCACCGCCTCTGCCTCTCAAGCCGATCATTGGCCCCAAATTGCCCTGCATTTCATCACGCAAGTCTGCCAGTTCCCAGAACTACATTCTTGATAAGACGGTA